GGGGAAAACTAAGAAAGGGCCTTCCATGGGACAAGGTCATGCTGCAATCACTTCTTCATTTCTCCCTCCTTTTGGGCACACACGTGGTATTCAGTGTGTTTTACAGGCACTGGGTCTGGGACTCAAACCACATAGCCACCAGGTCATGAGCTGACCCAGGACATTTACTATTCTGGTTTATTGAACTTTCCATATAGCTGAATGTTAAACAGAATTATTTTCTAGAAAATTCTCTGAAAATTAGTAAACACTCTCTCTTTTTACAGTATTCAGAGTATAATGAATCATCTTTAATCCAAAAGTTGGTGGTTTAAGAGCATTCAGATAAAACTGAAAGACCCTTCTCATAATCAACATTTTCCCAAAAGCTTAATCACCAGAATCACCTGGAGAACTTTTTAAAAATATTGTGTTTTATCTTAAATACAAGTTCCTGTCCCTTCTAAATTGCTAACTTAGACTCTCAGGAAGGCGCCCAGGAACATCAATGTTAAAGCTCACATGCATGTCGGCCCAGAAGCAAATCCAGCCCTGGGTGATTCTGCACCCCCTCTATCCCTGGGCTGCCCTCCCTTCTGACTGGCTCCACTCCCTGTTCCCTGAACTTCCCTCTCAGGCATTGAGTTTCCAGGCTTCCCCTCCTGCTGCTTCCCTCTCCTCATCACAGTGACCTTTACCTCTGCCAGGGTCAGAGGCCACTGCCAGGTCATCCACAAGCAGAATTCATCCCCTCCTGTTCTTCACAAGATGCTATGAAACACCTTCACATTGACATTAAACACATTGAATTCTTTTTTCTTAAGTAATTACTTACTTATTCAATTCTATTTGTTATTATTTTTAAAATTTGACCAGAGAGATACAGAGAGAGAAAGAGAAAGTGAGAAAGCAAGCTGCCAGGTCCAAGACTAGAACTGTGGTCAGCCATTTGAGAATCTAGCACCTTTAACCACAATACCATCTGCTGGTCTCCCAACACATTGAATTCTAATTGTATATTTTATCTGTATCTTTTAAAAAGATGCATTTATTTATTTATTTATTGTTTTTGCTATAGGACACATGTGCTCACCAGAGAGGGACTGAGAGAAAGTAAGGAATTATTCCCTTGAGGGATGGTCCAGTCATGCCACAATCCTCCTCCTTTTGTCTCCTTTCGAGAGTTTGGGCACATATGCACACACAGCCTGCATGATTTTCAAGCCACTGGGTCCAGCACTTGAACCACAAGTCAGCTATGTAAGATCCAGTGTCTTAACCTCCATGCTACCTGCTGGCCCAAGATTTAATTTTTAGTTTAAAGGTCTTTTTTTTTTTTTAATTGAGGCAAAATTCTTATAACAAAAAAGTAAGGAACTAAGAGAGATTTAGTACATTCGCAGTGTTGTGTGCCCACCACCTCTGTCTATTCCTGAGTATTTCCATCATCCCAGAACTCCCCGAACATGTTAAGCAGTTGCTCCTCATTCCTCACTCCCATCAGCTCCTGACAACCACCAAGCCCCATTTTGTTTCTATGGCTTTGGCTAATCCAGATATCCCATATCCATGGACATGAGGTTTAGCACATTGCAGCAGGCATCCGTGTC